CAGCTCAGAGTCTGAAACAGAGCAAGAGGAAAGAAAAATAAATAACTAAAAAGCAGTGAAATATATCTTCTTTTTATGTACATGAAATATATTGTCATAAAATAGAACTTTTAATACACTTTACGATTGAATATGAGTGAGTGTCACAAACTGAATAACAGCCGAAAATAAAACACACGGCAGCAAATCTACAGGGACGACACATGCAGTACTTCAGTACTTCATTACTACAGAACTAGCAGTATTGTGTATAGTCACAGTACTCTCAGAAGTGCAGTTTGTAGTAATGTTTCCAGCTTTAGTCAGCAGCTCAGGACTGAATGTGTGTGCTTAACACAAAGATTTGCACACACACATACACACACACACACACACACACACACACACACACACACACACACATACACATACACATACACACACACACAGTAACAGCTGATCATCTGAGGTCACATGACTTAAAGTGACAGGACATCAGAATCATGTCACATGTTGAGAAACAACCAACACGTTTTGGTTTTGTCTGAATCATTTAAACATGATATATAGATGATCTAAAATATAAAATCGCAGCAAATGAATCCTGTATGAAAAGAACCAGAAAACTGTCTCACGAACGCTCAGTTTGTTCTGTAAAATTCCTCTGAAAGAGAAAAGTGAGAACCGACAGGTCGAGTTAATTCAAACGGAGCTCCGTCTGATCGATGTCTCACTCTGTGGAAAACAAACAGTCTGTTGTTCTTATTTAAATATCACTGAGCACTTTGTGAGGTTTAGTTGTAGCACTTAAGTTAATGGAATGATGGAATCATTAAAACATAGGAATATTCGTCACAATAAAAACAGTCATGCAGTTTGGTTCTTTCATAGATTTGTTGTAGGTCACAGACACAGCTGTCAGTGTCCACAGGGTTTTACATCAACATGAGCTGAGAGGCTGCCATTAGAAAGGAAGTTCTAGAAGCAGCAACGTAAATCTCAACTGAAGTTTGCTCCTGATCACATAGTCAAAGAAAAGACCTTCTGGAGGAAAGTTCTGTGGTCAGATGAAAATACTATTTGGCCACAATGAGAAGAAACATGTTTGAAGGAGAGAAGGTGAAGCCTTCAACCCCAAGAACACCAAACCTACCATCAAGCATGGTGGTGGCAGTATTATGCTCTGGGGCTGTTTTGGTGCCAGTGGAACTGGTGTCTTTACACAAAGTAAATGGAATAATGAATGACATCCTTCAGGAAAACCTAAAATCATCAGCAAGAGGGTTGGATCTTGGACATAGTTGGGTCTTTCAACAGGACAATGACCCCAAACAGGCTTTAAAGATGGTAAAGACATGTTAAATCAGGCTGGAACTAAGGTTTTAGACTGGTCTCTTCAAAGTCCTGACCTAAACCCCATCAAGAACCTGTGGACTGTGATGAAGAAACAAGTCTGTGTCAGAAAGCCGACAAATTTAGTTGAACTGCACCAATTCTGTCCAGAGGAGGGTCAAAGATACAACCAGAAGCTAGTGGACGAAAACCAAAATAACCTAACTGAGGTGAAAATGGACCGAGGATATTTAATCAAATATTAGAGCTACTGCATGTATATTTTTGACCCAGTAGATTTCATCACATTTCCAGAAAACCTATAATAAATCTATTTGAAAAAATACACAGATAAATAAATAAAAAATACACGACATACACGATGTTTGCAAGTGGATGGAAACTTCTGTTCACAACTACAAAAGATACATCTGAGTGTTTCTTTCTGTCTCTGCTGAGAGCTGCAGGTGGACAACAAACTGATTGTATCTCTGATTCAGCAAACTGAAGTCAGTTCATCAAGAACACAGCAAAGTAGATCTTATCAGCCTGACGGAGCAGAACATGAAGGATCACTGCGATCAGACAGCGAACCAGATCTAAAAATGTCAAAAATGCAGAGACTCCAATCACAGCATAAAACTCATGTGGCCTGGTTTTCCTCATTTTGTGTCTCATCCTGATTTTGTGTTTTGGTTTTGGTTGTCGATCAGACCTCCACACAGCAGCAGAGGTACCTCCAAGCTTCAGTCCTATTTTCTGAAAGTCATTTCACTTCATGAAAACTCTGCAGCAGCACTTTGATTGTGGCTCTGTGAAGCCTCGGTTGTCTTCTGCTGAAAACGGTTGTTGAATTTGAATTATTCCTGTTCGTTGGTGAGGTGCTGCTGTGCTGCCTTTGCTGCCCTCTGATCCTGTGGGACTCCACAGTTTATTGTCAGCTGCTCCTCATTAGGATGCAGCGGCTTCAGTCTGTTTCCGACTATTTTTATCTTCCTGTATGAGTGTGAGTCGGAGACACTGATAGATTTCATGTTTCTGTGGCTTCTCTCAGAGGGACACCCACACACCACATCAGACAGTGAACATTGATCACATTCTCCTGGTTTTTCCACAGAGCTGCACGGTGTCGGTCGGTCAGACATGAACGAACAGATGAGGAGTTATTGATTTGAAGTGGTTTGGATTCAGGACAAGCTTTAGAGTCTCCATCAGAAAGTCTTGGCTTCTCTTTGTCTTTCTGCAGGTCTGACTGCAGCTTCATGAAGCAGTTCTTTGGTTCAGATTCTGGAAACATGTTGGTCTGCTCAGAAAACCAGAATCTGCCAGAGGGTTGGAAAGGCAGGTTGTCTTTTTAAAAAAAAGTCACCAAAAATAAAGTTGTTTCTTTAACTGTAACATATTTAATATATTTAATTAAGGAAAGTCTCACTTCATACATGAATGTTTTCAGAGTTACAGGCCCTTGAAGTCCATAGAAGCGGGTCCAAATGTCACAAAGACTGTCATTAATGGACTTTAATGGAGCCTCATAACTTCATCAGTACAGCAGATGGACACATTCATCTTCAGGGCTGAAAAACACATTTGAGTTCTGTTAAAAACTGCAACCAAATCAGTTTTACACCCACTCCAGGTTTCACAATCTAAACACCAAATCCGGTTTTGGTTCATTCTCTCTCGAACCAACTCTGAGCATCCATATTACAGGATATCATAATTTGGGGAGGCGGTGGGAGAGACTGCAGCAGGTTAATGTCTATGACACAGGGTCGTAGAAACAAGCATTGCTACCCTGGATATGTTTTCTGTTTTCTGATCATTCACCAAAGAAACTTTAAAAGGGACATTTTGGCTAAACTTTCAAGGTTCATATCAGCGTGTGTGATGGTAGTTGGTCAGAACAAGGTATAGAAAATAAAAGGTCTCATTTCTACCTACATTTGATACCAGGATCATCTAGACACCATCCACTCTGTGGCAGAATAATGTAATGTTCCAGGGAAAGAGCCAACAGCGAGGAAAACTGACACTCAGCTAGTCCACACTGTTTATTTCCACTGAACCTCCATCTTGTCCAACACTGACCCAAACAGCTTAGAGTGTGGATGTCAACCTGGACTCTGACAGACCAGACCTCCTCCTAGAGACCCAGCTCACAAACATGTCAAAACAGTTCATTAGTGCGTCTTATTTTCAGCTCTTCATGCAGTTGAAACAGATGCTTAAACAGAGACACTTTAAATGTTCATTTGTGCAAAACCTGCTCAAAGTTTATTACCCTGTAGTAAACTGGTTGAATATGTATGAGAATAAATGTATGTGAAGGCAGCAGCAGTAACACGATGCAGCAGCAGCGCTGTTTCATAGAGAACAAACAGGACAGATTCTATAGGAGGAGAATCAACTGGAGACCACTGACATATGGACTACAACCCCAGAGAGCTCTGAGCCAATCAGATCGCAGGGTCTGAACACACACACACACACACACACACACACCGCTCTGTCTGTGTGTTGCTGTATTAAACAGTGTTGTCAGTCTGTTTGAGGTCCAGACTGAACCAGCAGGACGTCTGAACTCCGTCTTATGAGGGATGCCACACAAGAACCATTTTTAATTCCACAAAGAACATTTTAGCAAGAGGCTGAGACACCTTCAGTTGTTTTTCCAAAAACCTTTCGCAGAAACGATTCTTTGAAGAGCAACCAAGGGTTCTTTAAAGAACCATCAAAACATGGTTCGTTTAGGCACCATAAATAGACTCCACCACAGAACGTCACCAAAAACAGGTTATTTAAGGAACCATTTTCAATATAGTTGTTGAATTATTTAGGACAAACTATGAGTCACTGTTATTTTAAGAACGTTTAATTTGTGGGAGTTTGAGGGTGGAACGCAACAAACCAGGCGAGCTGGTGTGTCTGGCAGGTATAAGGTTTTACAGTCATGTGACAGGAAGGGGAGTTCTGATTGGTTGTCCTGAACCTCGTGTAAAATTTCATCCAGGTAATCTTAAAGCATTGATGAACTTAAAGACCTAAAATAAAACCTCTATGCAGAGTCTGAGTTACTCATGTCATGGTAAAGACCTGGATAAATAAAAATTCTGGTTGCTTTTTACTAAAGTCTTGAGGATTCTTTCAAACTGATTCCTTGAAGAACTCAGCTCAGAGTCGCTGTTCGTGGAACCAGCGGTTGAACATTCTGTGGTGTTCTGTAGTCCAGACACCGCTTGCTGTCTGTTGCCTCTGCTGAGACATTCAGTTTTTGTTTGGATCCTAAACCTGACTAACATGTCCTCTGTTGGGGAGTCTGGAGACTCGGGGATTCTCACCTTACCTGTGGCAGGTGTGGATTCATCCTGAGACAATGAAAGCTCTGGACACTGCACTATTGACTCGTCTCTTGGAGGTTGGGGGGTGGTTCTCGTTTTTTTTTTTTAAAAAGGTGAACCGGGGGGTTTTGCTCCAATTATCACAGTACTCAGCCACCCCACGAGAGTTCATTTCAGGATGTTAGAAGGGAGGTTCTGACTGGAGGAGCAGCCAGGACATCCAGAAGGACAGGGTGCTGCAGGAGACTGGAGCACTGCAGGAGTATGAGGTACTGCAGGAGAATGGGTTTCTGCAGTAGAGGGTACTGCAGGAGTACGGGTTTCTGCAGGAGTAAGGTGTACTGCAAGAGTATGGGGTACTGCAAGAGTTCGAAGTACTGCAAGAGTATGGGGTACTGCAAGAGTTCGAGGTACTGCAAGAGTATGGGGTACTGCTCCTCTGTATCCTGTTTTTGATCTTGGGCTGCAAGGTGGTCGGTGGTTAGCCCCGTTGCTAACCACAGACCAAGTTTGCATGTTCTCCCCGTGTAGCGTGGGTTCTCTGTGGGTTCTCCGGCTTCCTCCCACAGTCCATGAACATGTTGAGGTTAATTGGTGATTCTAAATTGTCTGTAGGTGTGAATGTGAGTGTGCTTGGTTGTCTGTCTCTAAGTGTAGCCCTGTGATAGACTGGTGACCTGTCCAGGTGAACCTGCCTTCACCCTGAGTCAGCTGGTATAGACTCCAGCCCCCCATGACCCTAGTGAGGATTAAGCTGTAGAGATGATGGATGGATGTTTGATTTTCCTCTCACTCTCTCTTGCCGTCTCCTTTCAGCTCTGTGTAAACACTGCCTGCAGTTCACCTGAAAACTGAATTTTTCACTATTGGTCACAGCTTTGGAGAGACATGTAAAATGAAGTGATTTTGATTAAACATTTGAAGCTCAGGTTTGATTTTTCAAATGAAACACGCCACCCAAGAGTACTTTAATTGCTGTTGGAAAGCTGAAAATGTTCACCCTCTTTCTGTTCGAATGGTTTCTGGCTGATAAATGTCATTGTGGTGGTTTTAAAGATAACATGTTGGCAGGTCGTAGATCTCAGAGCGTCGACACTGAAACCTTCTTACTCGTTTTGCTGCCTTGTTTGTGTGCAACATGTTGAACTGATGCTGTTGGTGTGTCTTTCTAACGCTGGAGTCGTCCTCAGTCAGTCTGAGCTGCAGGAAAACAAAGAGGACAGTTGGAGATGCAGCTCCTCCCTCTGAGCTCCTGCCAACACAAACCTTCACTGGGTGTAGCTGTTCAGTTGCTAATTTTAGCTGCAGCGTCACCACAATAAATCTCTGTGGACACATTTACTTGGTGAGTGTGTTTGAACACGAACCCTGCCAGCGTCTGAGTGCTGAATTCTAAACACAGTGAAGTCATGCTGAGCGAATAATGAATCAGTGACATTAGTGAATAATGAACAGAAGGTGAGAATATCATCGCAGCCTGAGCGGCTGATTAACCGTCAATTACTGACTTAATTGGGGATAGAAGGAACGAGTGGATGAGGGCAGAGAGTTACTGTCGACCAGAAGAACCCACACAGCTACTGATGTTCAAGAACAAACCTCTGTTTCAACAGCAGCAGCTGATGTTTCTGCAGCTGATGTTTCTGCAGCTGATGTTTCTGCAGACCTGTCCAGTCGGCATGCAGCCACGTTGCAGCTGTAACAGTTCAGTCTGTTAAACGATGAACTGACCATCTGGCTTGTTGGATGAACAGCAGCAGCGACAGAAACAAGTTCAGACAGAAATAAAAAGTGAAAGATTCATCAGCCTGCGGGCAGCCGAGCTTCCTCTGAGCTGCATTTTATTATCTGCTTCATTTTTCACTGATATTACTGCGACGCTTCGTCCTCTGAGGGCACTCTGTGATATATGAGAGTCTCAGACCCTCTGTCTGTCTCCACATTCAGTTTCCTTTATTGGTATAAGTTATAACACCTTGTGCCTCATCAATTCAAACATAATCCGAGAACATCTGACAGAGAAGAGCAATAATTATTAAATAATTTGGGCTACATTTTGCTGTATTTTGTTTGTTTTACTTTTTTAGGGCTCAGATTGGTGAATGTTGATTTTCTCATTTTGTGGATAAATTACAATAAAAACTCTCCTGAGCTTCATACAACACAGTGATTCAGATCTGCGAAGGTTTCAGCTGTTCACCTGAACAACAAGCTGAGTGACAGGTTTAAACCCCGCCTACTATCTCACCTGGCCAATCACAGCGAGACACTGACGAGGCTGCTTCTTTGTTGACAAGCTAAAAGTTCCTTCAGGTTGTCGTCAGCTGTTCCATCAAAACAAACAAAATGTTACGGCCCATCTTCTCCGTTGTCGTGTTTCCACTGCAGTAAGTCTGTTTAGGCCCGAGGTGACTTTTCTAAAATCAGACCCTTGTGCGTTTATGTCGATGTGTTAACATCAGTTCATTTACAAAAACAGATAACTCCGTCTTCACAAACCTTCAGAAAAACCCACTTTTCCATCTTCTACCTGAGACAATATCAATAATCTTAAGTTATTGCTATTTTTGTCATGTGCATTTCTACTGAGTCAAATCCACTCAACTTCAGTTTGATTGATATCTCAAGCAAACAACAAAAAAATAATTTGTTTTCTGGAAATCTAAGTCAAATTTCCTGATGCAGACTGAACCTCTACAAACTCATTTATTCTGTCAGGACCTTCCTGCAGTGACTGATGACTTTGGTAACAGGTTGAATGTGAGGGAGAGCAGTCACACTGATGCCACTCGTCAAGTTTGCTGGTTTTCTGTTCTGTCTGATGTGTTTTCTTTCTCCACCTCTAATTATACCTGTACATATACTTTACTACATACAACTGCTGCTTTGCTGGTGCAGCCTCAGTGCTGGACATAAAAGCACTGCTGACGTTGAGGAGAACAAACTTTTTGTCTGTTTTCAGGTGATCTGTGTGTGCGTGCTTCTGAGTGGACGAGTCTCTCCGGCCGAGTTAACCTGCGAAACGCTGATCCTGCTGTCGACCAACCTGACAGGTAACTTGTCGCCCCCATGTTTAACCCTGTGATGATGGACGAACCCATGCAAACAGCTGACTCCTGCCTCGTTTCTGTCTCTCTCAGCGAGGACGTTGGCGTTACTAAACCAGACGTTCACCATCAGTAACTCCTCAGGTTTGTACCACTGAGTCCCCGAGCCAACCAACATGCTGCCCCCTAGTGTTCAGATTCTACTATGATTGTTATCGACTGAGCAATCCTTACCAGCTACCCTGGATTTGAGTCTGTAGATCAGAGACACTACAGTACTCCTATTGTTCCGTGTCCACAGGATCTGTCACCAACCCTTCCATTCATTGGCTGTAAGCAGCCTAGTTGAGGTTGAGACTACTTTATGTAAAATAAGTTTGTACAGCAGCTTGACACCTCTGAAAACTCCTGAAACACTTTAACTGTTGTTGATCTAAAACAAAGGCAGACTCAGTAGATTACTTTAGTGTTATGTTTTAAAAGAGAAAGTTTTGAGCCGCCAGTTTGAAACCCAGAAGCCTCCGAGTGAAGCTTTCGTCCAATCAGATGCAGCCGGTGTTTGTTGTTGAAGGGCGGAGCCTGTGTTGGATTCCTGTTGGGGAGTGCACCTGTCAATCAACGCTGTAAATCTGAGCAATGCATCTAAAGATACTAAAAACACAAGTTATAATACCTGAGCTAGACAGGTGTCCTCCTCAGTGACCAACAACGTCCTGATAGCACCTGCTAGGTTCTCAGTGTGTAAAGAAAAGTCTCAATCTGAACACTCTCAATACTTTCATTTACGAAGAGCTGATCTGGTCGTCTTCCTCATCATCTGTCTCTCCATCCATCTTTCTGTCCTCAGGTGTTTACTGCGACCTGTCTGTGGACGGCATAGGAACCTGTTGGCCTCGAAGTGCAGCAGGAGAGCTGATCTCCAGACCTTGTCCTGAGCAGTTCAACGGGATCCACTACAACACCACCAGTAGGTATCACAGAGGAACACGCCTGTCCAAGTCTCATCCCATCACTTCTAAAACACCTCTAATCAATCAAACATATTGATCCACACTGACTCTGACTTAACTGGGAAACACTTCCTTGTCACATTGCAGCTTAGTCGAAATGAAAATGTGGATTTTCTGATCCTAAAGAGCTGGTTGGTATCAGAGCTCAGCTTGATGTTTACGTCCGTGGTCACACAGGTGTTGTAATCCAGAGAGCACAGTTTGTGATGGGATACTAGTGATGCTAATTTTGTATACATTTGATGATAATGTTCATTTCTTCTGTGCTGATGTTTCAGTCCAGAGACTCGTGGTTTGTTCAGCTTTGTTCCAATCTGTCGCTGTAATTCAGAAGCTCCACCCTGGTTGGTTCTAGTTTGCTTTAAACTTGCAGGTCATTAACCTCCACAGAAGTCTTTGTCATGGTGCCCATTGCTAGCTAAACTCCGCACCTCCTCTGGTCTCCACCATATTAAATAGTAAGAGGCTCCACCTGGTGGAACAACCAGGTACTGCAGCTAATCGACAATACATTTTTTTGACATGCATGTAAAGAATACAGGTTTCCTCTGTCTTTTGGAGCGTGTAAAGCCACAGCACCTCTAATGCTACATTTCAGACAGTGTCCCACTGGAGCTTTACAACAAGGTTCCACCTACAGAACATTAAGGAACTGACTGGAGGCAGGAATACAGCCAGTCACAGTTAATGCAATAATCTTCGTCCCACCTCTGTCCCCAACCAATCAGACGCTGCCAATTAGGTGCCAGCCAATCACAGGTCAGCACTTTGTGGTTGCGGTGACGTACCACATCTCAGTGTGGAGGAGGACTGACTTTTTCTGCCAACTGTTTCCACCACATCCACTCAGTGCAGCAGCGCTTGTCTGTGTGTGTGTCTGCGTGTGTGCATGTGTGTCAGTGTGTTACTGTGGGTGTGTGTGTGTGTGTGTGTGTGTTTGTGTCAGTGTGTTACTGTGTGTGTGTGTTAATGTGTGGGTGGTAATAAATATCCTGTTTAATTACAGGTTTAGTTGTTGATCTGACTTAATAGCATGAGTCATCTTTGTGTTAATGTGGGTGTGTGTGTGTGTGTTGTGCGTGTGTGTGTTGTGTGTCTGTGTGTGTGTGTGTGTCACCACCTTCATCATCATCTTCACCACAGAAATACCTCTGCTGTCTCTCCTCTGATGTAATCAAACCACTGGCATCTGATTGGCCGTTTGTGTGGCGAACCCTGACTCAGCTAACGTGCTGATGAGCCAGCTGTTGGTCAGTATTGATCAGGTGTATTGATTGTGTCAACTGATCAGACGTATTGACAAAGGCGGACGGTGGCATCAGTTAGGACCAGATGAAAGCTCGGGTGTTGCCATGGTTACGTTGTGTCGGCTGATCGCACACAGATGGATGTTGTGGGAGTTTCTGCTGAAATTGATTGATCACGTGTTGAACATCTCTGGACATCATCCAGGTGATCAGGGGTGCAGGAAACTACAGAAACTGCATTCAGATCTCACGTTATCTGTGTTTAATGTGCTGCATGTTTTCACTTCTAGTTTTGTCTCTGAATAAACTGATTGATTGTTGATTATCTGTGTTCAGACCGGGTGTTCAGGGAGTGCCTCTCGAACGGCAGCTGGGCTCCTCGAGGAAACTACAGTCAGTGCACCGAGATCATCATCCTGGTGAGACTCTGATCAATACATCTGATCACTGCTGTCAGCAAACACTGATCAATACATCTGATCACTGCTGTCAGCAAACACTGATCAATACATCTGATCACCACATCAATCAGTTCAGTCACTGTCAGATGGACTCATTAGTGAAACTGTTTTTTTTTTTTTTTTAAATCAAACAACTTATGAACACATTCACACAGCAGCAGCCATTGAGGAGGATTAACTAACAACGAATCACTGAAATAATCCAGGAGGCCAATTAATCGGTCAGAAGATCAATAATGTACAAAACTGATCAGCTGGTTGACTGATTGTTATTAATTGATGAACTGATTATTGTTGATTCACTGATTTAACACTGTTGTTTTCTACTCTAACCATATTTTCTAGCAGCTGAAACACTGTCATTTAAAAAAGTGGCTTTAAGTTCATGTCGGTGCTAAAAGACGGACAGAGGACACGTATGTCCCCATGGACACGGAACATGGAAACACTTTTACTCTGTGTGTGTGAGTGTGTGTGTTTGTGTGTGTGTGTGTCTGTGAGGGAGTGACACATCCATTGGGTGTTAATGTGTTTTTGTGATACAGTCATCTATAATGAATCACAGAAGAGATTTGTTCTATTAGTTGACCTCAAACCACTTTGTACCACCAGTCAGTCAGTCAGTCAGACAGACAGTCTGTCTCTGATGTCAGATAACAAACTGCTAGTTCAGATTCAGTCCTAAAATTCCCCCACAGAAGGAACTCCATCCATCCATCCATTATCTATACACCACTTAATCCTCACTAGGGTCGTGGGGGGCTGGAGTCTATTCCAGCTGTCTCTACAGTT